ATCATTGTTTTTGACATCCTTCTGCTCTCTTGCAGGATCATGTTAGTAATTCAAGCCATTCCAGTCTCAGAGGAAGTGCCCGGACTTCAACAAGAGAGGAACATCCTGTTAATCCTGTGGTGAGTATTTCTCTCCCTGTGAAACCTGATTTTTTTTTTTTTTTTTTTTTTTAACCAGTCTGGCATCAAAGTGTTGCTGTATGAGTGTTCAGACGTGTTCACGATTCACAGGTATTTTTTTTAATCGTCACTGCCTCTGTCACTTCCTCTGGTGTAGAATAGTTTTAGTGAGGTTATACATCTCTTTATTGGTATCATGTTACTCACTGAGTTTAAGGTTGTCAGTATTGATCACTACATTCAATTTCTTTGGCATCAATAGCTGCTTCCAACCTCAGCTGGGCTGCCTGCAGGCTGGGAGGAGAAGCGAGACAGTAAAGGAAGACGCTACTATGTCAACCACAACAGCCGAACAACTTCGTGGACACGACCCCTTATTCAGGTACAAAGTGGGCGTTTCATTTTTCTGTCTAACTTGCTCAGTATGGATCTGAAATCAAGTGAAAGTAATTTGTTAAACCCAATACCTCTCCATTTTATATTTTGGTGGACAGAAAACCTCAGAGGCAGCAGCAGCAGCTGCAGCAGCAGCAGCACCACCGTGTGGTTCAGGTTTACCCCAAAGCACCCCTCCGTCCCACCACCTGTCCCCCCCGAGGAGTCTCCTCAGCACACCCCAAGCCCAGAGGCCACACAAGAGTCTGACTTCCTGCCGGCTGGTTGGGAGGTTCGCAGTTCTCCCAATGGAAGACCCTTTTTCATTGACCACAACACAAAGACTACTACCTGGGTGAGAAAGCAGCAGACTTCAGATGCACTTTTGTTCCAATTATAAGTGTTGACCACCCACTTGAGGATGCAATTCATTTAGTGGCCACTAGGGGCTGCCTCCAAGAAAGCCAATGGAATAAGTCAGAATTTTATTTCCACAACAAGAAAGGGTCTCAGTTGTTAAGTTAACTTTTTCTATTGTGTGTAATGGCAACAACAGTCAGTAGTATCTCCAGCACCATTTCTTGTGTAAGCATTTCCTGTCTGACAGAAAGACATCCTGTTTGTTTTCCTCTGAACAGGAAGATCCCAGGCTAAAGATTCCTGTGCCCATGAGGAGGAGAGCCTCGCTTGACCCATCTGACCTTGGCCCTCTGCCGGTAACTTCATCTGTTACAACTTTAGGCTTTAGATCTCAGGCAGAAATTATTTATGGTTCCTTTATTGTTCTGTGGTTATAATGTGTAATCAGAGTTGCGTTGCCTATTGTATTTAATAGTTCAACTTAGAAAAAATTTTCTTCCTTCTTAGCCTGGTTGGGAGGAGAGGGTCCATGCGGATGGAAGGATTTTCTACATAGATCACAGTGAGTATGACATTTAATGCTAAAAATACATCTTGGACTAAATGATGACTAGTTTCTAATAATGAATTAACTGATGTAATATTTCATAGACACCAGGACCACACAATGGGATGATCCCAGATTACAGAACTCAGCTATAACTGGACCAGTGAGTATACATTTAATTTGACAGATTGTTCTTCAGTAACGTGATATTAGCATATAACAGTTCTCTTTTTATAGCTTACAGATTTCCTATAAATATATGCCATTGACCGCTGTGTGGCTCATAAGGTTAAGATTGATTTGTTGTCACTGAGCACTGTCCTTTGTTGATTATAGGCAGTGCCTTATTCCAGAGATTATAAACAGAAGTATGACTACTTCCGGAAGAAGCTGAAGAAACCGGTGAGTGTCTTCAAATAGCAGCTGTAACTGAGACCTTGGAAATACATGATGAAACTATTCTAATGAGGACTGGTGTTGCCTTTAACCTCTGATATCAGTTTCCCACTCTCACTTTCACATATACTGTATTTATTTAACCTGTAGAGGATCATAAACTTTCTCCTTATGAACCATACAGGCTGACATCCCAAACCGTTTTGAGATGAAGCTGAGACGAAATACGTTGCTAGAGGACTCATACCGACGCATCCTCTCAGTTAAGAAGGCCGACCTGCTAAAGGCACGACTGTGGGTGGAGTTTGAGGGAGAAAAAGGACTGGACTATGGCGGCGTGGCCAGGGAGTGGTTCTTCCTCATGTCCAGGGAGATGTTCAACCCATACTACGGACTGTTTGAGTATTCTGCCACGTGAGTCCAAACATGGCCTCTTTTTTTATACCTTCTCTGAAAGTCTTGTACATCATTTAGGTGAGTTTAGATGAGACACACAGTACTAAACAGTCTTGTATTGCTCAGCCATTTACATTCAGAGAAACATGTGCCGATACTCTGACTTCATTTCGTCGGTATTTTTCAACCTGGACAGTACTGAGTGAGTGCACTGCAGTCAGCAGCAGCAAAACAAGGCTGTTGTCCCAATTAGTCACAGAGACACAAAAACATGGGAAAATAGGGTCCAGGTTGAAAATTACTGAAGCGACCCTTTACGAAACAGTAAATGAAAGACATCCAGAACAGATATTCTGCTTCGAAGACTCCTAAACAGGTCTGGAAAAGTCTATAGAAATATATGCAAAAATACAAACTCATACACATAATGGACTAATGCTCATTGTGTGCAGTCACAGACTCTGTCTGTGATATTTGGTTTAGGGAATATACATTTTTTTGTTTACACAGTGTTAGACAACACTAAGTTTCAAATTAAAAACTGTGGGATCAAGTTCTCCATAGAGCAGTTTATTAGCACAAAGTACACAATAACAGAATAATTTTAATAACAGTGGCAATATAAAAACACACAGAAAAGAGCTGTAATTATCTTTGAATTGGAAGCCGGACAGCTCATTTAGGAAAATATTTGTTTTTTGAAGTTCCTCTTCATGTTTATAATTTGTCTTGCAGGGACAACTACACACTGCAGATAAACCCTAACTCAGGTTTATGTAACGAGGACCATCTGACCTACTTCAAGTTCATCGGCCGTGTGGCAGGCATGGCTGTGTATCATGGCAAATTGCTCGATGGTGAGTGCCAACTGATTGTATGAAGGTGTGAAAATTGTAGTTCAAATGTATTCAAAGGGTAATAAAAATAATAATAATTTTGGAATAGGAAACAACTATAAATTGGTTGAAGAATTATCTCACGATGTGTTTCTATAGATGGTCTTAAATCAGACTCTTCGGGGATTTCCAAGGGTGTTCCCCAATGTTTGATTTTAGCTCCTTTTGTACCTTTACGCGGATTATACAGTGATATTTTCAGTTGCCCCTTCACTGAACCACGCCATAAATGAGCTTCAGTTATCTTTTAAACAGCTTCAAGTCTCACAAGGACTAATGCTAAGAAAACTAAATTTATGACGTTTATGAGGGCTTGTTCTCGACCCCCAGGTAATAAATCTATCAATACAATAAATGGGGACTAAATTTTAAAGTTTTTTGGTTGGATGACGAGCTTTCTTTCAAAGTTCATATTGAAAAGCATGTAGAAAAAGATTAAACTGAGGTTGTGTGTGTTACTTCAGAAATAAGGCTTGTGTTAACATTATAGCCAGAAAAAAAACTTGTGCAGGCTACCTTTTTTAAGAATACTGCCTCTACTACTCTCCACCTTTTAGATTCTGTGTACCATAGTGCTCTATGCTTTTTAACTAACTCTGATTCCCGTACACACAATTGTACGCTTTATGATTTGGTAGACTGGCTGTCATTAAGTCTACGTAGACAACTTCTTTTGCATATCTTTGTTTACAAGTCAATGGTGGGTTAACTGCCGGCATATTTATATAATCTCCTGGCGAAGAATGACAGCAGTCTTCATTCTCGTTCCACCAGGTGGCTCTCTTACCAGGTTCCAAGGGTTTTTACTGAGCTGGGGAAAAAAGCCTTCTCTTACTTTGCTCCCTGGTCTTGGAATAACTTGCAAAACTTACTACATCTAAATGATCTGGTCCCACTATATGAATTTAAAGCCATGTTAAAATTCCATGTAACTGCCTCATGTGACCTGGATTAGACCCTTTCTTTTATATGGGATGTTTGTGTGTTTTGACTGTGTTTTAAATTGTAACTGGTGTGCCATCTTGGCCAGATCTTCCTCAGAAAAGAGATTCAATCTCAAGGGACTTCCTGGTTAAATAAAGGTCAAATAAAAAAACTAATCGGTTGGAAGGTCAACGTGATTTTTGCAAATTGTATGATTTTATTTTTTTTGTCTTCTTCAAAGCTTTCTTCATCCGACCTTTCTACAAGATGATGCTGCAGAAGCCCATCACGCTCCAAGACATGGAGTCTGTTGTGAGTGTCACACTGAATCAGGATCTTCAAATGACAATGGTAATCTGGGAGACATTAATTTTGTTATATTTGTTTGTTGTCTTTTCAGGACAGTGAATATTTCAACTCCTTGATGTGGATTTTGGAGAACGACCCAACAGACTTGGATTTGAGGTTCACCATTGACGAAGAGCTGTTTGGACAGGTGCGTTCAACATGCTGCCTCATCAGATTTTCAGTTTGTGATAACTGGTTTTCTGATTTACATGACATATCATTCTTCCTGTTCAGACCCGCCAGCATGAACTGAAGCCGGGCGGCACAGACATCGTTGTCACTAATGACAATAAGAAGGAATATATCCAGTAAGCAACGGAGCTCCTCACTTAAAGAAAAACACTTCTCAACATCTTCAGCGTTTGATGCTAATGTGCTGTTTTGTGTTTTACAGTCTGGTGATGCAGTGGAGGTTTGTGAACAGGATACAGAAGCAGATGTCTGCCTTCAAAGAGGTAGCAATTTATTTGCTGCATGTTTTGTAACACAGCTGACACGTTTAAACAATAAAAAGTAAGAATAAAAATCTGTCATATTTATTTATGTTTTAGGGATTCTTTGAGTTGATACCACAAGATCTGATAAAGATCTTTGATGAGAATGAGCTTGAGGTGAGATTTCCAGTCGGACTGATGGGCTGAAATGAACCAGATTCATTCCGGCAAGATGAATAACAGTGTGTCTAATTGCCCTCTTGTCCTCCGCAGCTGCTCATGTGTGGTCTTGGAGATGTGGATGTGAATGACTGGAGAGAGAACACCAAGTATAAGAACAACTACTGCCCCAACCACATCGTTATCCTGTGGTTTTGGAAAGTAAGACAACTTTCCATGCCTGGAGCCATCAAGCTGAGCTGTGGATGTTTTTCCCTCCCTGTTTTAAGAAGAGCTTTGTATAAAGTTATTTATTTTGTATATCTATTTGTGTTGTTACAGACGGTGCTGTTGATGGATGCAGAAAAGCGAATCCGTCTTTTACAGTTTGTGACGGGAACATCAAGAGTCCCAATGAATGGCTTTGCTGAACTCTATGGTGAGAAAACTCGCAGCATTTTCTACTACTACTACTGAGTTGTTGTTGTTAGAAAGTGGTTTCTTGTTTGCTTTTTCTTTCCACTTATCCACACAGTACAAATAATTATTTTCATCTCATCTTTTACCTCTATACTGTATACACTTGTCGTCAATTCAGAGGTGGCATGATTTTCTTTTAATGTTTCTTGTAAATTAATTCTGATGGTTTTATTTTTTCAGGGTCTAATGGACCACAGCTGTTTACCATCGAGCAGTGGGGAACACGTGATAAACTCCCCCGAGCCCACACATGGTGAGCACGTTAAAATCTAACGCAGTTAAGTTTAGAAATGTGGGTAACACTTTCTATGAAGGTCATCGCTATAATGACTTATGCATATATTTATAACACGATATAATGCATCCATAAGACATTAACAGTTGTTATAATCACTTAGAAACATGCATTAGGCGCTATAGCAAAGTTCATGACGTATTATGTCCTTTTGATTTAGTGTTTAATAACTAATAGTAATACCAGTTTATACCACTGTGCGGCAAGAATCTCCGACCATGTTCCATAACACATTATAACCACCGACTCTTCCTTGTTATGAATACACTTTAGTCACCATTTACAATTAGTGGTATAAAATGGAATAATAGCTTATAGTAATGTTTAAAGTTATATAGCATGTCTACGAGTAAAGTGTTAAAATATATATCCCTGTATAATATATTACAGATGGACATAATACCATATTAACTACTTATAAGACCTTATAACACGTAATTGTTTGCTTTAAGGAAAGTGACACACATTTTGCGCAGGAAAACAACTTTTATTTATGTTTCTTCAATTTCTGAACAATCTGTATGAATTTTGAACATTTTGCAGTTTAGCACAAAAACGAATCATGTTCATAAAGTGGAGAAACATAAATAAAAGTTGTTTTCCTGCGCAAAATGTGTGTCACTTTACTTAAAGCAAATAAAGACATGCTATATAACTTTAAACATTACTATAAGCTATTATTCCATTTTATATCACTAATTGTAAATGAAAAAAGTGACTAAAGTGTATTCATAACGAGGCAGAGTCGATGGTTATAATGTGTTATGGAACATGGTCGGAGATTCTTGCCGCACATTGATATAAACTGGTATTACTATTAGTTATAAAAAAGGTCATAATACGTTATGCTATAGCGCCTAATGCATGTTTCTAAGTGATTATAACAACTGTTATAATGTCTTATGGACGCATTATATCATGTTATAAATATATGCATAAGTCATTATTGTGTGTAGTGATGACCTTCATAGAAAGTGTTACCGAAATGTGCTCTGGTCCTTTTTCAAATGTACAGCGAGTCTGTGCCGACATTTAAAAAGACTCAAGCAAAAAAATTGCCTACGTTTCTTTCTGCCCTCTCTCTTTGCTACTGATTTTTTTGGTTATGTTTAGCAGTGAGGTTTGTAGTGCAGTTCAGCTTTTATCACAGCTGTGAGGAACATTCACAAATAATTATTTTACTGTAATGAGGCTTGGATGTACGGAGCCCCCGCTGTCTCTAAAGATTATATTTTTTATCTTGTGTGCACAAGATCTATATTGTGGGGCTTCAGGGGCTCCACAAGGATGTCCTATCAGGCTCATATCAAGACATAATAATAATCATAATCATAAGGCCAAAGAACATAATATGGCGTCGTTACTGCCGAGGTGTACATCAGCCCTGACACGTGACACTGAATATTGTGCTTTGCTTCCTTAATCTTAGCCTACACTTATGTGGCTCTGATAATGAATAAATGACTAATAATTTAAAAAAAAGGACTAGTACCAAATAATAATATCTAGTTGAGCACAGTGGATTGAAGCCCTCTAGTGGTTGGATACAGTCATAGCTCTCATTCTGTCATTGGAGAGCTAAATACAGTCAGTAAGATGCTGCAGTCTTCTAAAGGGATACTCCACTGATTTTACATGTCAAAATCTATTTTCTAGTCACAGAGAATGCAAAAGTTGCATTTTGGGAAGTGTAGCTTGAGGGTTTTTGAGCTTGACTCACATCAGAGACTAAAAGTCAGGATATTTCTGCCTCTGCAGCACCAAATGTGACTATTGTTTGGAAAGTCCCTGAACTTTATGGAGATGCAACAGCTGAAGTTGATTCCAGCGAATCTTTTTTTTTTTTTTTTTTAAATGACTCCTGCTTTGATGTGATTTTAACCTTTTGTTTCCTCATTTACTTTCACCCCTAAAGCTTCAACCGACTGGACCTGCCTCCTTATGAGTCTTTTGAGGAACTGAGGGAGAAACTTCACATAGCCATCGAGAACGCACAAGGCTTCGATGGGGTGGATTAGTGCTTCTGCTGTAATTGAGGTGAACTGACATTACTGCTGAGAGAAAAAAGCTGTGCGTCAGATTGGGGTCTCAACCTGCCAGCTGTGTGACAGTCACACAACCTTCGCTTTCCCACACTTCACGCAGAGAAAGGACATTAATCTTATCTGGAGTGACGGAGGTTTGCATCGCTCCGTGTGTTTACAAATCAGGTTTTCTTATTATTGGATTCAAAGTCGCTCAGAGATGTATCCGCTTTTATTTGTTCTGCTAGAATGCTTAAATATTTAAAGAACTTGATTCTGTGAAATGACAATGTTACAGAAATGAATGTGAATGCGAAGCTGTATACTGTATAACAAAAACAAACTTTAGGAAACATTAGACTTCCCATTGTAGTTGGTGGGAAATTAGTTTAGTTATGGAAAGTTTTGGAAAGTCCCTTAACTTCCCTCCACGTCCCTTCAACACATGTTAGTGCTGGAAAGAGTGGACCATGGGTCAGAATAGTCAGGCCACTGTGGTAAAGTCACAGTTATTTTTTTACCAAAAGGATAACATAAACCCTTGATGTTTGAATACAAAAAAAATATGAACTCACAATCCATGTAAAGTGAACAAGTCCATAATCCCTTTAAACGTGACATTGGCCAAACTGGAACATTACAAGATGAAAATGTTGAGGAAGATGAGGGCAACAACGTGTTAGAAGTTTATTCCAGATGTATAGGACGTTTTAAACGGCAAAACCTGAATAATAACTCGGCAATTCAACCTAAATAAAACGGATGTGAAAATATTTTCTCTCCATTTTTTAAATTCTCTACATAATTATACATTTTTCATTCCATCAAGCTCTAAACACTGATGCAAATCTCACACATATGCACCTCAGAAGCATTTGTAGCAGAAAATCTGCAGGTTATACACAAGTTTGAGCGACTACTCTTAAAGCAAATGTACCCTTTAATCATTATAGTAGTGATGTACCAATACCAGGACCAGTTTAACAGGCTCAACTAATTATACCGTAGTTTGCATCTGCGTCATCTACAGATCCAAAGAAGTGAGTACGTTCAGTGTTAGATTGTGCTAAAATACTATGCATAATTGTACATGTTGACATGAGATACTTGAATGACTTTTGAGTGTCTCAGTTATTACATAAATATTGTACCAAGTACAAATATAACTTTGCCTTCTACAAAATGAGGATGCGTTTATTCTTATACTACTACTGTTTATAGTCACTCAAATTGGCAAATAGTGATTATTGGTGCACCTCTAAATTATACGCCCTTCTTCTGTTTCATGTATGAATCAGTAGCCACTTACACTCAAGTTCAACACTGACTGTTTGTGTATCCAAGAAACAGATAAAAATAAATAAATATATATATATATATATATATATATATATATATATATATATATATATATATATATTATATATATATATATATATATATATATATATATATATATATATATATATATATATATATCACACACTCACACATCAGTTGCTTACAGAAACATTATCCGACAAAGTGACAGTCATACACTTTGCATACAGAATGTTAAACATTATGTTTGTGTTGCCTTTTGTCAGTGAGTGATATCTTTTTGTTTTCTTTTACTCATCATGGGTGTCTAATTGCAGCACAGTGCTCTATTTTTAAGAGTACAACTTTTAAAAATTAGTTTTGTTAGTTGTCAAAATGTGTACAGATTATTGTCCATATTCAGAAATGAGTAATCACCTGTAATACCTTTTGTAGGAAAGTAACCTTACTTAGGCAGTAGTTTTAAAATTTTCCTGACGGTAAAACATGTGTTTACACTGCCTGCCATGTTTACAGGTCGTTGATAAAGGAAGATATTGCGGGCTGGTTCTTGTCTCTGACAACACAATTTTATACTTATGCATTTATAAACTGAAGCACTTTGTTAATATCGATGAGTCTTACTTCTGAACTGTCTGAATCTTTGCCATTCTGTCACCGGCAGACCGCTTAAATTGCTCTTTAAGGAAATTATCCTATGCTTCAAGTGCACCTGTGTTTAAATGTTTACATGTGAACATTGCTGAAAGTAAGCACATTCTCTTCTTTCACTTGTATTTAAGATTAAATACAGAGGCCTTCATTTGTAATGTAATTTAGAATTTCATTGTTTATTAATGTTTTAATCCTTAAATGGAAGTACTGTCATACATGTATTGTTGTCTACTGAAGAATAATGAATAGATCAATACTTAATTTCTGATATATCAAATTTTGTTATGATAAAATTGAATTTATAACACCTATAAGTGCATTACAACAACAACATGCATGCAACATATATACAACAGTTTTGTAGCTGTTAAATTCCAATTTGAAGACCTATAGCACACCAAATGAAATATAAATATATTTGAAAAATAAAGATGTATAAAAAAAATATTATTTGCTGTCTTTGTGTCTAACTTTCCCACATATTCAGCTGTTGTGTTGTAGTTTGTTTGTTATTTTACGTGCATTTGCTTTTTCTTATTACAATATTTCTCCATTCATTTGATGCATTTCTGCCAACTGTACTTAACATTGAATGATTTCTGGTTCATTTAACAAAGTTCCCAGTAAATTATATCGTGTTTAGTATTCATAAGCAGTATAAACACAGAGTAAATGGTTTGTAACACACTTTAATGTAAATTTTTAACTATCATGTATTTGTCGTCAACTGTAACTTCTCCTGTGGGCACCCATGAGGGGAACCTGTACCACGAAGCGAGTTAAACATATCCAGGATATGTTTTCGTTATCTGTCTTAACATACCCTAACAATCGCGATCGGGATAAGCGGTACCACGAAGCTGGTTATCAACTCGGTAAATCAACCCAGGTTTCCCAATCCAGCCGTGAGCGCGTTCACATAAAAGAGGCGGAGTTAGCAGCAGATGACAAATCACTGACATGAATAAGTCCACTGTCAGCAGAGTGTCCTATTTTATGAACGAGGATTAAACACTACAGAAATACGACAGTAGCACGGCTGCATCTGACACATGCAGGGAGACAGAAAATCGCCAACAATGTGAATGCCTAAATGAACAGGTGTAGTCTATAATGCGTTGATTTGATGTGTTCTTATGAGCTGTATAAAAATATCAGCCTTATTCTTTCAGCTCTGCTGTGTGTTGGCGTTTCCACATGTGCTGAAATAGTAGTGAAAGACTGAATCTCAACATTTAACCTACTGAAAACTCATCTAGTTACCTGCGCCCACATCGCAAAAGGTGGGGCTGAAAATGACTAGTCTCTGTAGTAGGCTATACTAATCTAAAATAGGCTGGATAGCCTACGTTCATATTAAAATTTAGTATTTCAATATCCCAACCAAACTGCTAATAATTCAACCTCACATAAGAAAAATGAAACCCATTTATTTGAACGGCTGCGACAGGCTGTGTGAAACGAGCTGGGAGCAAATAAATAAAATAGGATATTAAACACATCTCAAAGCAGTAAGTAGGCTCAGCCTACTGTAAAAACCTGTAGGCAACAATAGCTTAAGGCTTTTAATCAGTCTCCGTAGGATGATGTCGCTTTAGCCTCTAGAGTTTCTCCGTATCACCGCAGCAAACATAAAGCACAGACGGTGATGTCATTTTCCAAGAGAGCTGATTGGTCAGTAGGCTGCGTTTTCATAGAGTTGATCTCTTATCTGGAACATAACCTGCTCCGGAGCAGGTTAGCCGTTCAGTTTAAGTTACCATGGCGATCTACCCTGGTAAGAAGTGAACCACCTTCGTGGTACTGAAAACTCAGGGTTAACCCCGAAGTTACCTGGATAAGCTCAAATCCTGCTTCGTGGTACAGGCCTCTGGTGTCTTCACATGATCAGTTTGAATTGTTGACTAATACTGTTTATTAATAAACATTAAAAATGTCTTATAACAGCATTGTAGTGTGGTATAAACACTTAATAAATGTTTATATAGGCTACTGCTTATAAATGTTAAATAAGAAGTTAAAGTGTTTTCCAGTTGTCTTCTTTTCACAAAACTATCACATAGAATTTGCAGAGCGTTTAACACAAACACAAGAAATTGAGTGCAGCATTCACCTGAGATTCTTCTTACAGTCTTGTTTCTAAGAAAGATAAACCTCTATAAGATGTGTTGGCAAATTTCCACCGTGAGAATATGTTGGTTACCTGGTTTTTGCTAAAATAAAAATTGAAGCAAAGAGTGGGGAAAGCAAATGCGATGTAGGGGTGTTTGAATGTTACGTGGGAATGTCCATGGAGGGACTATGTGAGGATCCAGCAGACTGCAGTTTCCAAATCCATCCACGAATACCAACGGTCTCTCTTCCTCAGTGAAAGTGAGATTTCATATCCACGTCACACTAAAGAGGTAACTGCCCTGTGGCCTCATCTCTCTAGTCACCGCAACGTTCGATGTAAACATATTATTTTATCTCATGTGTCAGACCGGGGACATTACAGTGATGTGAGATGAATATCTAAGACCAGATGTAAGTGACAGTAAAGAACAGATAAGGTGCAGGAAACGAACTACCTCAAATCTTTTAATTTTCCATTTTGTTGTTTTGTTTCTCATTGTCTAGACTGAGAGTGTGTTTTGTTGTGGAATTTCCTTTTAGACACCAGTATGTGAGTTTTGAAAACACCTTTTGGAGCAGACATTTTCTGACACAATGCCAACAAAATGTCTCCATTTAACATTTTATTTTTGACAACTGATCCTTAAAGTTCTTAAATTGTTTCCCACGATCAAACAGTGGTACATGAAGTATTCAGATCCTTTACTTAAGTAAAAGTACTAATGCCTCACTGTACACTGTACAGTACTGCATTGAAAATGTTACTTAACTAAACTTGTGTAAGTAAAATCAGGAAAATGTACTTTTATGTATGTGAAAGTACTCAAGCAGAAAGAAAAATGTCCCCTGACTGTTATATACTGTATACTGCATTAATGTAAAAGCAGGATTTTACTGCTGTAGTTGGTTGAGGTTAAACTATTTTGTATCAGACTTCAATTAATGATTATTTTCATTATGGATTGATCTGCACATTATTTTTCCCATTAATCGATTGTAAAAATTCAGAAAATAGTGAGAAATGTTGCCCAGAGCCCAAAGTGGCACCTTCACAATGCTTGTTTTGTCGGTCCAAACCTCAAATTTATTAAAAATACATTCAAACAATTAAAAGGAAAACCAGCAAATCTTCAAATTTGTGAAGCTGGAACCATGAATTTTTTCTACATGAAAAATGCCGATTACCATAATATTTACCAATTAAATTTCTGTCAATCAACTAATGTACTAGCTGTACTTGTATAAACTGTTGAGAAATTTAATATCATATTTTAATACTCTTCATATGTTTTGTGTGTAAGAATCTTACTTTGTAAAGTAACTAGTAACTGAAGCTGTCAGATGAATGTAGTAAAGTAAAAAGTAAAATATTTCTCACAGAGAGGTAGTGGAGTAGAAGTAGAAAGTGTCATGAAAAGAAAATACTCAAGTAAAGTACAAATATCTGTAATTTGTACCTAAGTACAGTCCTTGAATAAATGTACCTAGTTGCTGTCCACCACTGCAATCTAACCATATTTGTGTGGCTTGTGCAGCTGTAGGTGTTTGTAGTACTGAATTATTCCAGCTGGAGGAGATAAAACCACTTTGGATTCTCCCTGAAGATCATCACCTAATTTTTAACATTCTTACATCTGACAGCATTGGTTTGTTTCAAATCATTTTGGAAACACTGATTCCTTTCAAAGTTTTTTTTATGTCCAACTGTTGTTGCTCTTTCATTTTTAAACTGCTTAACAGAGCTGGGAGGACCGTTTGTTTATTTGAATCTGTGATCCTGTGTGTTTGTTGACCTGCAGTCCTCATTCATACCAGCTCAACAGCCACAGTCCTAATTTCGTTTCTCCACCATCCCCACTGTTGTGGCACTAAACCCCCCTCCACAGGGGTCAGTGGAAAGGTCACACAGGATTCAGGCCAGCCTTTTGTACACTTCTGGGGTCAGCGGGGATGGGCATGTGTGGTAGCAGGAAGACACAGGCCTTGGCCAATGGCAGGAGGTCTCCTTTACCCACAACCTTACCAACATAACCTGATAATGACTTTTACGCCATTGATCCGACCTCAGAGCTTGAACTGAGTTCACATGTGGGCCGACTATCATTCCACTCAACAACTGTGCCATATTGGCAGGTGCCAAAACTGAATTCTTGATTAATGAAACACCCTGAGGACAGCCTCTTGCTTTCTGATGTTATGTAAGGGAGGAGCCAACAACCTGCTCTGAGACTGTGGTCAAGTATTTGGTTATGTGATACAGTGCAAGTACTTCACAGGGAAACATAACAAGCTAATAGGTTATAAAGTGTGTGAATGAGGTTGTTGTGGCAGAAGAGGACGTTTGTTGGAAGAGGTTAGATAATTGAGGCTTTTCTTGAAATTAAAGGGGGAATTTTACATTTTCTTAACCATATGAATCCATTTTTCAGATAACACTGCAAGATCCTACACTTACTTTGAGGGCACTTTAAAGTTATTTGTTTAAAATGAGGTAACTTGTTATCTTGACTAAAGTTACACTTTTCAAATTAAAATTAATTATTTGTCTGTTTCAAATTCAGGAAAAAGAAGGTGATGGCAGTGATTTCTTCCCCTTTTCATTGTTTTTTCACTGAATTTATTTTGGGGAAACAAACTCGGCTAAAATTCATTGAGGCAGCAATATAGGATCCTCCATCTTTTAAAATCTCTTTCTCAAGTGCATAAATAGCATTTTTAATAAACAAGTGTTAAGAACTTTGCAGCAGTGCTACTGTTAGTTAACATCAGTAATATTTCTGTTTCTGAACATTTCTCTTTTATAAGAGTGCGGGTTTTCATGTTTTGTTTTTCTTTTTTTCTGATTGACTGGACATCACAGCTGGTTGCAGTCCTGCTGCTGAATAAAGTTTCACAGAGGGAGGGGGCAAGGACCGTGGGAAGGTGGGGGGTTTGATGTTTCTCCACAATAAGTGATGGACATTGGATCAATATCAACATTGACACAGCAGCTGTCCTGCTTCTACCAATGCTTCATCATAATTAGAGGGCCCAGTTTTAAGACAAGAGACAAAATCATTTCCATTACCATTTCTTTTTTTCCCCCCAGTCTGTAGAGACCATTTGGTGTGCAGTTGGTCTCTGATACTGAGGGATCTGTTCTCATCAATACAGCTTCTCTTCTATTGATAAAGAAAAGTGAAATGGTATTGGTGGAGGAAGTTAGGCAACATAATGGTGTGCAAGCGCTGAAGTCTCATTGTTACAAAATGTACATAACATCCACCATGGGTCAGTCAGAGTTTTGGTGTGAGGCCCACACTACACAGAAAAACATGACTGATGTGATCTTAAAGTTATTGATACAAAACACAGTATTAATATTCCATACAAATCAGTAATATAATAGAATTATAATATCAGTTGAAATGACAAAGGCCTTAAGGTGGATGCTAAACTTTTACCTGTCTTGTCTATTTGTCTTATAAGGGGACCTTGTGTGAAAATGTACATGGTGGATTAAGCCAATATAAAATTGTGTTTAAACACATAACTACAAGTAGGGGGTAAGTGGGGACTAATGTCTAATCTTTGCTCTTGTAGAAGGTAACACCGATTAGATTCAGTGAGAAATATATACTCGTCTGCATTTATCTGACATCTATAGTTACTAGTTACTTTGCAGATAACATATGTATTTTACATCCAACATGAATTGTGCTTATTAAATATGACACATTGCTGAGTGGTACCCAAAGGTATTATAAAGTAGTCAGACCTAGTGCAGGACTACCTTAATATAGCCTACTATATATAGTGCCCTAAGCAAAATTTACAGGCTTTATCTTGGGATCATTTTACTGCTAACACTTTGGTGTATTTTCTTTCTCAAAGAATGCTTCTAATGCAGAGATTTTATTTTTAGGGTTACTTACAGTGATGCAGACTCTGTCTCAAATAGGTAACAGCAGCCTAAAAGTTGGACGAGGGCTGATGTGTGAATGAGTTCAGGAGGAGAGCGCTTTCCTCGCTATGAGCTACAGCTAACGCTAGGTGGAGTTGGACTAAAAGCTTCACTCAAACTAACAGACGTGATGAACTGACTAGTGTCCATCCCAGAAGAGGAAAACTATCCTGCAGCTCTCAGCACCAGCCCTCCTCCTCAGTAGCAGTGCAGTTCAGCTGGAGGAAACAACTATGAGAGAGTAGCTAGAATGCACGGACAATTCATGTAAATGGCGCTTGTCAAAAGGAAATTATATCAGCGATTGCTGTTCTTTGCCGTTTTTCTTCCAATCTCAGGTAAGGAGCAATTTCAATGGATATTATGTGATAAAGTAAAAACACCGTCAAACTATAACAGTTAGGTGCATCACTGTGACTGTCCGTAATCCTGTATGTTTGACTGTGGACCCTCAACGGGAGCTGTAACGTTAGCTTGACTCAAAGCTACTGAGTATCAACTTTTACATTTACCACCAGTACCGGTGATCTCAAAAGCAGAATAAACCACAATGTCATAATAATAACCTGCTGATAAATGAACGTTATACTAATGTAGAGAGGACATGAAGCAAGTTAAAGTGTGATTAATGAGAAACTGTCCTGTAATAGTTTGTTTACGTTTACTGTCAGTTAACTTTCAAACCTAACGTTTTTTCGGTTGTTATGTTAACCGTTATTTGATCAAATATTAAGTAGTTAACGTTTATTATATTTTTCAACCAGTTCTATTTGGGTCTGTCCAACGCTAAAATTAACCTTCTTTAAACAACACTGGCAACCTTACAGGTAAATATAAAGAGATGTTATAATGATGTGAAAGTGCTTTGGAGATCCAAATGATTATCTTAGTCAGACATTTTTCCCCACATCTAACTGCCACATTGATTCTTAAAATGAGTAGTAAGTGCTGAGCAGACAAGAGTAAAGTGTATTTATATTGTGTATTAAGTGTTACAAAGAGAGCTGAAATGAGAGATCAGCAGTGTGTCAGTCCTCTCATCTAACTTACTAATTCAAAAACAATACATCTCATATCAAACATAGAGCAGGTAAAGGAGATCTCAAGAAAAATACTGTGGCCAGACCTTATGAATGGTCCTTTCCTTTGATTTGGGAGAAAATCCTGGCCTTGCAGCAGACTTAATGAAATGCTGGCATAGTCGCAGGTTGTTATTGCTTTTAAGTGGAAGTGAAGAACCTGTAATGTATTTTGTGGATAAACTGAATTATAGCCTTTTAGGAAAGACATACTGTCTCTCTATTCAGTCCACAAAGGTCACATTGATGAAACATTTACTAAAGTTCTTGCTGAGAGTTCTGTAATAGGTTTCTGAGTAAAGTAAAGGAACTAATAGGATCAACTGTTTCACCTTCAGCTGGTGACTTTATGAGCCACAAGTAATGGGATTGAAGTGGAGCAGAAAGACTTTGTGAAGCTACAGTGTATTTACTGTACAGGACAGGGCTGGCAGGCCTTAAACCCTCTCAAATGTGGTGTATATCCATCTAAGACTTTAAAGACTGATAATACCCATCCAGAGAATAGTGAGCCACATCCATCCATTCATTAAGTGTAATTACTGACATGCAGACTGGTTTAAAACTCACCTTTTAAATCACTTTAAGCCAGAAATCACTGGATACAAAAGGCCCCATGCTGATAACCACCTCAACTCCTCATGTGCTGTTCTTCTCTCTTTCTACAGGTGTTTTATGCTTTAGTGAGTTATTTTTCATCAAGGAACCCCATGATGTTACTGCCATGCGGCGAGAAGCTGTTATTTTGGACTGTCAGGCGCATGGAGAGTCACCCATCGACGTCAGATGGCTCAAGAATGGAGTAAAAGTGGTGGAGAACGAGCGGGTGTACATGCTCTCCAATGGCTCCCTTTATATTTCAGAGGTGGAGAGCAGAAGAGGAGACAAATCAGATGAAGGGCTCTATCAGTGCCTTGCTCAGAACAAGTATGGTGCAATCCTGAGCCAGAAAGCCCGTCTTACAATCGCAAGTGAGTATCATGCTGGAATCACCTCGGAAATGTAATAGTGTTATGGACATGTGATGTGATGAAGGTGCAACTCTAATCATGTTCAGGCAGGGTAGATGTCTTGTATTTTGGCTGTTTGCTACCGTTTGCTTACAGTAATCACTGAGTGAGATTCAAATCTCCATGCATGAATCATTCAAGGAGATTTAAACTTGCACACATTACTGTTTGTTTTAAATATTAGGTTTTTTGCTGCTCAGTGTTGCATGCTGGGCAGCTTTGGTGGTAACAGTGGAGGAAGAGGGACAAAGTCTTCAAAGTTCGACCCCGAAAAAGATTTTTGAAGGCGAATATGCCCATTGGTGTGCAAATGAAGGAGCAGGAGATCTGAAAGGTCAGGAGCTGTCCAGGATATGGGCTCTCCAGTGCTAAAGAGCAGATGACCCCTATTCACAGGCTGGGGCTTTCATGTTATTGCACCCTGATCGCTTGAGGAATTGTTCTTTTCGAATGCTTTCTCCTCCATTGCTGTGTGAGTTGGCCTCATATTTTAAGGGGGGAATAGAGAAGCTTCAGGCAGGGTTGGTCTTTTGGGAGCTTACTTCCCCTCCTCCGACACCACGGGCCATGTGTCTTGCTGTGCTACTTTTGCAGAATGTGTGTGGTAACACTTTTACCCCACTGGCAATGCATTCCCGTCTGTACTAAAACACGCATTTTTACCCTTCCATGCAAGATGCTGAGATTCAATTTAATTAGGCAGAAAATAGCTGTTTTGCATGTCTTGTCCTGGGATTGGGATCCTTACTTTTTCCATAGTGATAATAGATAGACAGTGAATAGATTGTTTTGTGTTGAATTCCATTCCTCCTCTAATGTGATCCTGAAGTTTAAGAATATCGAAGTACTTGAGAAATATTATTGAGTTTCTGGAGGTGAACTCTGATGATTTTCTTTATTTGAACAGATGAAACATGGTAGAAATTCTGCTTTTATATATAAAATGGTTTCACGTGAGCAGCGTCCATACCCTCTGTGAAAAGATTAATAGGAGCTTAATAACATTGCCAGCACTTTTGAAATTATTGTTAAATTTGGTTTAATTAAACTTTATTGACAAATGGAGTGCAATTAGTGTGAGATATGTTTACAGTTGTTCAGTTTCTTGAGCAAGTTTACATGAATTATTCTGAACTGTACTTAACGACATGCAATGCTGTCTGAAAGGGATCCCTGTCAGATATTTTCTGGTACCTACAAAGTATATTTTATTAAAGTTGAGGTATGCGGGATTTTTTAGGATTTTAATCGAATACGCCTGGACACTGTCTGGAGCTGGTGTGCTGGGTCTGGGACCGTCTTGCCCCGATTTATTTATATTACTTGCTGTGTCATTTTTGCTCTATATTTGTTGGATTTCTCCAGTAGTGCATAACCGATCTTTACTGAGTAGTTTACCTGCTTTAGAGTTTGAAGTTAAGAGGTGATAAAGGCCTCCAGTAAGCTTTACTAGTTTGTTTTAAAATGGCACTTAGACTTGCTTGAGGGTCTATCTGGAAGCTCATAAAGTTTGCACATACCTGAGAAATGCTCAGTTGAAGGACACAGAGGTAGCAGTGGGGGTTGTTGCAAGTGGTGTGCACACACACATACGCACACACACACAAATGTGAATTGCCGTTTCCCAGTACCACTGCCTTACCGCGAGTGTCTAAATGACCAAACTTTATTGCCTGTCTTACCAGGTCACTAGGGGCTTGAGGCTTTGCGCACAATTGTTTTCTGCCTCACTACTCTGGAGAAAGAGTGAAAAGCTTTTCACTCTGACGGTTTTTGTCCACATTGCCCCCGTGCTCACAAAAGAAAAGGTTTTCCTTGGGGCCAATTGTTTGTCCTGATATCAGAGGACAGAACAGCTGGACCTGTTCACTACTGCAAGGCTAATTACATTAATTGTTAAAAGTTAAAGTTGATTAGTATCAACTTTAGTAAGTATGCATTTTGGTTTAAATGCCAGGGTGTCAGTCCTCATTAAACAGCATGGCTCTTTAGGAGCCTTGCAGGGAGCCTCAGTACCTCCTTTCCTAGAGCTCAGTTCTTTTCTGTTCTCTTTCTGTTGTGACATAAGAGTTTTAGGTGCAGGGATGGTGCCCATTGTGAGCTTTTTAATCTTGTGCTCATTTGTTGAATCTGTGTTGGCCTGCTAGTTCGAGGAATGTGATGGTGATGGAGGGCTAACCTTAAACATTGTGTTTCTAAAGCACAAAGCTGAGTAGGGATTTGGCCTTGATGAAAAGGAATGTGACACACGAGCCTCACCATGTGACTTTTGTCAATAGACTTCAGATTGATGAGGATTTCAGAGATTACCTCCCGAGTTAGCTCCCTTTTTTGGGGCCTTTTGCACCTTGTGATTACAGGTATATAAGGCATGAATACTGTGGAAATTGTCAGATTTCTGAAAAACATTTATAGGATGTCTCAGTCGTGGCCCATGTGTTGGTTTCAGACTTGTTGATAGTTTAAGAAAATCACAGATCAGTCTGTATTAGCAATGCTCTGTTGTACCCTGGCATTATCAAAAAAGTGGTACACGGTGAAACCTGGGGATGTTTCTGGGGTTTGAACACCAGTTCCAGGAACATTTGAAATTGAGGATGTCTGGTCAGCCCAGTAGTGTTGGAGGATAGCCCCTTTATTTACAGCACTGTGTTGTTATATAACATTATGTGTCACCTCCCCTCAATGGAGTGAACTGTATTCATTTGATGTAGACTTAGAAAACTTTAATGTCCTCAGAGAGGCAATTTGAGGTGCAGCACAAAAACATCTCGACACAACACAAAGAATAGAAAACACATCAATAAACAGAAGCAACAATAATCTTACTGTACTGATTTTAATTTGGTGTTACCTACAAAAAGTACCTGGGAGCATTCCTCCACTGCCACTGCACACATACACGCTACGCCTACACATGCGCACTGACGACCCAGGGTTAGGGTTACAATTTTGGATTTACTCACACACCTCAAAAACATTTATTGAAAGTTTTTCTTTGTACATGTTGATTCACAGCATTAAACGTTGAAATGTGTATTGTAATAGGCTTTATATTAATTTATTGGGAGAAAAATGGTAGTTCTATGTAAAATCAGACGTTGAACACCCCCATATAGCCAAAATGGCTTGATCCTTGTTTCACTGCGATGCTTCGACTGTGAGATTGACAGTCGAATCAGGCTCCGCCCATTGAAGTATCGAGTCTACTATTCGGGGTCAGCCCTACTGCAGATATTGAGTACCGATCCCATACTGATCCCATATTTAAAAGAGTACCTTACCGTGTGAATCTTTTCTATGTGAGGCAACATGAGAACTGAGAACTATACATTTTATAATGACATTGACAAAGAAACTTTAATTTAATGTGGATCTGTAACATCTTGGCTGATATCCAATTAGCTTAATGATGGTCAGCATCAGCATCGATACTGTTTCCCAATATGTTTCTGACCAATAGCTTTGTCATCATTCAATGGAAAGTTCGGAAAATGAATAATTATTTAAAACTGGCAAACTTCACTAAACCTAAACTTTGAGTGAAGTAGCTTATTGTATTAGGTATATTTTAGGCATTTTACTACAATAAAACTGGGACTGTCCAGCAAATTAAGTGTCAGTGCATTGCAAAGGCACACTAGGCTACAGTTTGCTTGTTTCTAGCTGTGGTAGGGAGTAAGGTTATTCTTACAGATACAGATGTTATATATCTTATTCTGAATATTATTCACTTTATTCTGTTTTTTAAAATACCTTTTATTGGTTTTAAACATGGAAACAGTATAAAAACAATAGCAGAACCACCCACCCCCAACAGCCAGGCAGTGCATATAATATTAGACAGTAGAGTAGACAGAAAAGGTGAAAATAATGGTCATAATAATAATAACATTAGAAATACTGACTGAATAATTGAAAACACAGATTATATTGATAATAAAAGGTTATGTTTAATAGTCACGTGAAAATAGATCCCACACAGTCCTAGCACTTTATTCATGTTTAAAGATGAGAGCAGAAGGTGCTTTAAAGGAGGGATTTGAAGGAGCAGGTGCCATTCACTGCCAAAGTTTATTTTACCTTACTGGTGTGTCCTAGGCAGCCAGGCCAGGACCACAGCATTATTTTTAAGTTGCCAAGGAATGCATCTGACTTGCCTCTGGCTGGCACAATCAGAAACTCCAATAAGACAAGAGTAAGCCTTGCACAGTGTGAGCTGTGGTGTGAATAAATGAAATGGCCTTAAGTGAGACAACTCAAAGCCTGGAATCTTGTTTTTCTCCTCCGCTGGACTTGAAAGGTTACTATGGTTCCC